TATGAAAATATTGTAATTTAAATGCTAATGATATATATTATATTAGAAAATTTCTTTTATGGATAATATTAATACGTTATGTAACAGTTATACTATTTTTAGTTAAATGATAATATTTACGAATAGCTATAGAACCTACTTTATCTGAAAATATTATTATTTACTATTTTTTCAATTTGTAAGAAACGAGAGCATTTATCCTATGAGTAGTAATAAGTATGCTAAAAAAATAAAGTGTAAAACCAACATCAAAACACACAAATTGAACCCATTAAGCTGCTAAGTGTTGGCACAAGTGCAGTGTCAGCTAACTGCTCATCTGCAGATATGCCAAGAGGACTACCTTGCTTCTTTCCTAGCGTCCTTCGTCGAAGTGTGAGACAAGAGCAGAGGATAAGCAGGGCGAAGATGACCAGACAACCGGCGGCAATGATCACGGCGAGTAGGACCTCTCGCGGCGGCTGCGTGTGCTTGGCTTGACCTTCTGTCGGACAAATCAAAGAAAGAAACCAAGATAGGAAGAGAAATGGCTACATGTGCAGAAGTCGACAGATTCGGAAGCATGACGTTCTCCAAAATTCAGGAACCTTTCCATCCTCCGTCCTTCAAAAAATGCCTTGATTCTGGAGGAATAGGCAACTCCTTCACAGCGCCATGGTGATGCACTTCGAAACGAATCTCCTCTCCCCCCAAAATCACAATAATTTGCCATACTGGTCTTGTCAAAGAGGTGATTTGCCCCATTTGCAGGCACTCGGCCATGCACAAGAATATACGCCAAAGTCAGACTGTAATTGTTTATATTTTTGAGAGGAAATGCTTTAGGAAATTCGGTTTATATATTGGTTGTCGAAGAAACCCATGAAAGGCTAAGAGAAATTCTAATTAGGCGACCCAACGCTCGCGATCAGTCCGAAACGCCGAACTGTACACTGAACTTGGTTACATCCGGAAAAGAGATATATCATCTACTACTCATATGAGAAATGATAGTAGTTACGGTGTTTGACAATATTTTGCCCATGAAAACTTGATATTTTTTTTCATTTTGTCACGTTTTAGTATAAGCTATTAACTTTCCTATCCTTTATTAGTCTGTCTAAGGATTTATATTTCACGTGGATGTGAAGTCTCATTGTCATTCGAATTGAAATAGGCCTTGTATTTACATTGTGCCTCTGGGTCCTTCGCCCTCGAAATGAGGATTATTTTATGTCTCCTTATGCAAGTCGAAGGGTTTCGACGGCCATAGATACATTGAAAAAAACATTCAGAATCCAATGCTCTCTATCGGTCAGTTCTGGCAACATGATGCAGTTTCAGAGCGATTTCACAGAAAAGCATATATCATACTACTCATGTATCCATAAAAATATACAGGGTGCAAACTTTTATTTGGTATTAGAAATGATTTAACCTCCCCTTAGAAAATAGGGATATTGAAGGTAAAAATAAGATAAAGAAGCGATCGGTGTTGGCATCAGAATAAAAAATGTGATGTATTAAATAAACACAAAAATGTTGCTAACATTTGTAAAATTGGCAGAAATTTTATAAATGCATGAATCAACGGAACAGAATATTTTAAGATACAAAAATAAGGAGTCAGTGGCATCAAGCTGGTGTGGTTTGAAGGTCACGTATAGGAAGAGAACTTTTGCAGTGATAGAATTATGTGAGAATGTTAAAGCAGCATTGTTGCAGCATTTAAAACATACTACTTACAAAGAATTTCGAACAAGCGATGATACTTCTATACTGTATTGCTTTGCTTGTTCTTAATATTTTTCAATGATCATTAGCCAACAGATTTTAAAAAATGTACGTTCTTATATTTTTATAGAATTTTTCACTCTGATTTAAACAATTACATGATTATATGTTATAATCGCTTCGAATGGTGCGACTTTAAATTGCATGAAATCGTTCCGAGAGAAATTACTCGCAATAATCGTAACCTGCACAACTATCAAAGTTCCGATTATCCAGCCGTTGGTATGGGATTTGCTAATATGCTTTATCCCATTCCATGTGCTTCAGTTTCGTTCCGACGATTCTTTCCGCTAATCGAGGCATCTGTCAAAATGGGAAGCAAGTAGTATCTGCTTACGTGAATTCCAGTGGACCGGCTCTGTGATCTGGACAGTTTCGCCGTCCATGTAAACAATAAGTCGGAAGTTGAACTCCTCCAACGGTCCCGGCAGACGGACTTCGGCTCGACCGGATCGAGGCTCCATCACCTGATGCTCCTGACAGAGCAACTCCGTCCAATTGGCCTCTACCGACCGCGGAGAAGTGGAATTTGGCACATCCATTCGCGGAATCCACGGGTCTGTGACTACTGACCGCCTTGTTGTCGTGACATTTTCAGCCCCAGCAACGACAGATTCACGCGACGCTGTCCTCCGGCCGGACCTGTTACTCTTCGGGCATACGCGCAGATGTACGGTCGTGTAGTAGCCAAACAGTGGAGGCTGAAAAGAGACCAGGACGCTGCTATCCTCTCCATGGTTACGATGTACCATAATCGAAGACTGCGGAATACCCACATAGTCTGGGTGAGAAAAATACAAAATAGACTTCTTCTTAGTCGAGACGAAAAAGTGTACCGCAAATTTCGCCCAGAATACGAGCCCATTCGTGTGGAGCAATACCATTTGACAAGAGATGGCACAATCTTTTCTGCAGAAATTCGGCCAAAGGATTGACTTCGCTTGGCTCTTTCGACGAATTGTAGCTCGGTGCCGAGAATGACAAGACTCACATGTCCGAGAATGTACCATGTTCATGGCTCAACGTTGGGGATCATTAGAACTAATATAACAGACGACTTCGGACAAGGCGCGCTCCAATAGGCCACCATGACAACCAAAATTAGTTGTGAAAACGAGGTCAGACCACTTCTGTACATCGAAAGAAGACTGCGACCACAATCGAGGTCACAACGTCTTGGCTTAAAGAGGCTAATCATGATCCGTAAATAACGCGATTGAACTGATTGTGCTCTGAAACCGGGGTTCTGATGGTCACGAGTGTCTCGATCGCATATTGTAAACCAGCAGAATGAATGAGAGAACGGCCTGTTACGCTTTAGAATTGAGACTTGCCTCTCAAAATGATGCCGATTGGACAATCGTCAGCTCTTGAATAGGAATAAAAAACAAAAGTCCACTTGGCATGAAGCTGCAAGAGCAGCTTCGATGAGATGAGCAGTTATTTTTGAACAGCAACTTAGTCAACTTTGCACTCTTTTCCCAGAATAATACGAGTAGGCCTGACAATGCCACTATACTTCACTTACCCTCGCCCCCCAAACTGTTCACTCATTCAGTGTATAACTCGCTTCTTTTCCAAGAAGCATCGATAGTCTTGCAACCGAGTCACA